TTTATTTTTTTTTTCCCCCCTGTGACAGGGTTTCTCTGCACAGCCCTGGCTGTCCAGGAACTCTGCAGACCCAGACAAGGCTGACCTTGAACTTAAGAGATCTACCTGTTTCTGCCTCCCCAGTGGGGGTGGGAACCACCATGTCCAACCCTCAACTTGCATTCTGTACATGACTGGTGTAAAAATGACATCTTGAAATTTGCAAATGGATGGAACTAGAAGATACCATCCTGAGTGAGGTAAGACTCAGAAAGACAAACACGGTATGTACTCACTCAAAAGTGGATATTAGATGTGAAGCAAAGGGCAACCAGCCTACAAGATACCATCCTGAGTGAGGTAAGACTCAGAAAGACAAACACGGTATGTACTCACTCAAAAGTGGATATTAGATGTGAAGCAAAGGGCAACCAGCCTACAGTCCGCGACCCCAGAGAAGCCAGGTAACAAGGAGAACACTACGAGAAACATACATGGATCCCCTTAGGAAGGGAAAATAGACAAGAACTCCTGAGAAAATTGGGATCATGGGGGGCGAAGAGGGAGGGTGGAAGGGGAAGAGAAGGGAAGAGGGGGAAGAAAATATGAGGGAGAAGAAAAGAGATTATCTTGATTGAGGAAGCCATTATGGGGCTAGCAAGAAACCGCAAACCAGGGAAATTCCCAGGAATCCACAAGGATGACCCAGCTAAGACTCTAAGCGATAGTGAAGAGGGTACCTGAACTGGCTTTCCACTGTAATCAGATTGATGACTACCTTAATTGTTATCACACAAACTCCATCCAGCAACTGATGGTCGCAGATGTGAAGCTAGGACTGGGCTGAGCTCCCAGAGTCTAGTCAGCGAGAAACAACAATAAGAGCGGAGGGATCAAGACCATGATGGGGATACCCACAGAGACAGTTGACCTGAGCTAGTGGGAGCTCACTGATTCCCGAATGACAGCGGGGGAACCCGCGTAGGCCCAAATTAGGCCCTCCGAATGGGGGTGATAGTTGTGTTGCTGGGGCAATCTGTGGGGTCACTGGCAGTGGGGCCAGGATTTATCCCCAGTGATTGAACTGGCTTTTTGCAGCCATTCTCTTTGTGGGGATACTTTGCTCAGCCTAGATACAGAGGAGAGGGCCTTGGTCCTGCCTCAAAGTGATATGACAGACTTTGTTGACTTCCCATGGGAAGCCTCATCCTTCCTGAGGAGTGGATAGGGCGTGGGGTGGGTGAAAGGTGAGGGGAGCAGGAGGAGGTGTGAAAGAGGGAACTGGAATTGGCATGTAAAATGAGAAAAGATTGTTTTAAAAAAATTACAAATACAAAAAGAGATAATACGGGGCTGGAGAGATGGCTCAGAGGTTAAGAGCACTGACTGCTCTTCCAGAGGTCCTGAGTTCAATTCCCAGCAACCACATGGTGGCTCACAACCATCTGTAATGAGATCTGGTGCCCTCTTCTGGTCTGCAGCATATATGTAGGGAAAATGCTGTATACATAATAAATAAATCTTTAAAAAAAAGAGATAATACGTAAAAACAAAACAAAAAAACAAAACTGAGAGTTTCTAGAGACAACACACCCTTTAAAATTTATTCTAGCAGGGAGCGGTAAAGCACATCTTTCGCCCTAGCAGTCGAGAAGAAGGCAGAGCTCTTTAAGTTTCAAGCCAGACTGGTCTATATAATGAAATCCAGAGCAGCTAGGAGAGAGCTCTCTATAAAACAACAACAAAAACAACCAACCAAAAAAAAAAAAAACCCTCCAAACAAACAAAAAACTTTACTCTGGGTGTTGGGGTTTAGCCAGCAGCTGAACCTATGATAGTTGGCACAAGGCTCTGGGTTCAAACCCAGCACCGCCCCCGCAAACAAGTTTACTCTGAAAGAACACTTGCACATCTCCCTGTAAAAGCAGACTATCAACATTATGTCCGCTTCAGTGTATCCGGTTCCCAGAGTTGCACTATCACTACTGCTTTCCCCTCAGGAGGAGCGAAATGTGGCTGTGGAGTCAAAGGATCAAAACAAAGTATTCTTCTACAAAGGCTGTTTACTTAGAATGACAGTTAGACAAATGGCCTTGTAGGTGAAAAATTAATAAAAGAGAGTATCATTATTACAGCAGTTCAGAAAGTTCTTTATATCAGGAGGAAGGAAAAGAAAAAGCTCTTCCCATGCATGGTAACATCAGTAAGAGGCACGTTACAGAGCTCCTGCCATTTTCACTGAAATAATGACATTTCACAATACCTGATACAATTGATGTTGAACTGAGACTATTCTAGAAAACATAAGTAATTTCCTTTCCTTAATACATCCTACTGAACAATTTTTAGAAATTTTATTTGCGACATGTTCTTACTGTGTAGTCCATCCGAGACTGGCTTTGAATGTAGATCCTTCCACCTCAGTCTCAAGCACTGTGACCACAGGTGTCCCTGCCCTGGCTTTCCCTATGAATCTCACTGAGCAGTTTGTTTCCCTACAATTTACAGGATTAAAGAAACAAAGCAGAGGGGGAAATCACGGCAGTGAGAAAACAGTGATATACAAACCAGGCTATTACCAAAGCTCACCAGGAGGCCTGAGGACAACTTCAGAAGAATGGAAAGAACACTCCAGTCTACTCAAGATCTCAAGTCTATTCCAGGCTCTGGCATTACCTACTTTAGAAGTCCTGAGGCCAGCCAAGCACTGATAGTTCATAGGCCCTAATTCTCCCCTCTATTAAATGAGAAGGCACTAACTATGCATTTAAAGAGTTAACTACAATTTTAAATATTGGTTTCAGTAAACAAAATGGGCTCTTACTTAATGTAAGCAAAGATAGGCTACTTTTAATGATTAGTCAATTATGCATACACACTAAAAACTTCAGTGTTTTCTGTACTTGGTAATTCTCAGCTGACAATACATGATGTCCGAGAAAGGTCAGAATTAAACTCTCAAATGCAAAGCTATGCACATCTTGTAGCCACTTACTTATTAACTAAGGTGACTAATTTCAAGCTACTCTAGGCTAGCTTTCTTGTGTTCAAACACAGGGCAAAGACCATCATCATAAATATGGGTAATAGTATATTCAGATTAATAAGACATGATATAAATGGTTTAATTTTGAAATACTCTAAAGTAACATTATTCTCCACTTATGTATTTCTAGTTCCTGAATAATAACGCCATTCTTGAACTTACAGAGAGACTTCACAAGTACTATCTCACCACTTTGTCAGTCCTATGAAACAGAGTGACCCCTTTATCATCACAATCAAGGAGCTTGGAACGCTGGGTAATTTGCCAATCATTACTTAGTAAGTGTTGGAGCCCAGACTTTAATCCAGGTCATCTGATTTAAAATTTAATGATCTTTCTGCATGCAGTGGCCTTTAACCTCACGAGGCAGAGACAGGTGGATTGTGAATTTGAGGCCGTTCAGGCTACAGAGTAAGACCTTGTCTCTAAATCCTAAAAGAGGGATTTGCGTCAAAGTTAGGAGACAAAAACAAACAAAGGATAACATAACAAAAAGAACGTGAGAAGATTTGGGCTGGGTGTGGTGGCACACGCCTTTAACCCCAGAGACAGGAGGTTCTTTGTGAGTTCCAGGACAGCCAGAGCTACTTACAAGAGTCTGTCTCAAAAAACAAGAACTAAAGAACAAGAGAAAGAAAAGGAAAGAAAAAAAGGGTCTGGTAGTTGTGTAATCAATAAGTAAATTTACTAGATTTTAAAATTAATGATATATCAAACGTACAATTCCACTTGCCAAAATACTTGTCACCTCATTTCAAAGATGTGCCAACAATTTGCTAACTCAAAAACCACGGCTAATCTGAGAAAATCAGATGAAACTAGCTGCAGCTAGATTAGTGAGCAGCATCAACCCATTTGCTAGAGTAGTTCAGACATGAGTTTATGTGTATATTTGCTTCTTGAATGTGTACCTCAAGGATATAATTATATTATTAAAAGTATCTAAGAAACACGGTTCTAAAACTGCATCTGTGTTTTAAAATAATGTAGGCAAATAAACTAAATAGGAGAAATTAACACTTTAGAGTCATTTTCCATCGATACAAACTCTGGGATACCGAAGGTCAATAAAAATATAACCTTCGACACACAAACTGCTGCCTAATAATAAGTTTATCCCCTAAAATCAGACCCAATAACAACACAGTTCATAAATAGTAACAGCTGGATACAGATGGGCCCAGAACTTGGGAGGCAGAGGCAGGCGGATATCTGAGTTCAAGATAGCCTGGTCTACAGAGAAACTCTGTCTCAAAAGAATAAAACAAAACAAAACAGTTGGAATACTAAATTCTTCATTATGCCAAGAGAAATACTGAGAAAGATCTCTAAATGTCTAAAAAATGGCTACAAACATCAAGGAAGAACTGAAAGTCAAGACAAGAAATTATACTGCCAATATACATCCACAGCGCCAATCTATGCATGATTAAAATTTTTTTGGATGGGGTAGAAGAAAAGCAAAGGAGCCGGGCAGTGGTGGCGCACGCCTTTAATCCCAGCACTCGGGAGGCAGAGGCAGGCGGATCTCTGTGAGTTCGAGGCCAGCCTGGTCTACAAGAGCTAGTTCCAGGACAGGAACCAAAAGCTACGGAGAAACCCTGTCTCGAAAATCCAAAAAAAGAAAAAAAGAAAAGCAAAGGATGGCTATGTAAAATCAATTGCGAGTCAGAAGTGTTAGGTATCAGGAGACACAAGGCTGGCTATACAAGCTTTTTGAAATTGTAAAGATTTTTAAGTAGACCACCCTGCCTTTCTGCAAAGTACTTCCAACTGCAGTGAAATACTAAATTTGGGGACTAAGGATTTGGAAAGGGCAGAGAACCCTTTCTCTGACAGCTGGAAGAAGAGCCAAGGTTCATAGTAAGAGCTCTGAAAGACGAAAGCCCTTTCCTTTGGCAACTCTGTACCGTCAAGACACCCTCATGCCTGCGCTTCATGGGGACGAGAAACAGCGCATTGAAAGGTCCTGGAGATGAGCTCGGTCATCAGCTCATTTCATCAGGACACTCCGCGAGGAGGGTGCTCTGGAGAAGTCAAGGGCAGCTTCCAACCCTGGAACGAACGGTCGGGAGCGTCTGAGGCCAATGTCCCGGTAACCAACCGCGGAGAGGTGTCCCACATAACCTGGCTACAGCCAAGCTGACACAGCCTGTCAGCAGTGACCTGAAACACTCAAGTGGAAAACAGCGTGTTCTGTATCTGCACCGCCCAAGTGTGAGAGCCACGGAAGAAGCCGAGCTGGGGAGTGCACCCCCGACTCCCCGCTTTCGCCTACCTACCCGCTCAGACCCCGGCTTCTCCGGATCGCAGGATCCTGGAAGCGGCTCCCAGCACCGACTCTCACACCCGCCGCTGGGCTCCGGCCAACCGGAACTCCCTCGCGTCACTTCCGGTCCGGTCCCCCGAGGAGCCCGCCTCCGAAAGAGAAATGTTCCACCTTCCTTGAGGCAACCTGAGAGGGTCCTCGCGGGATTTCGGTTCGGCTTTCTCAATTCGGATCCTGTGGGTGTGACAGGAGGAAGGATGACTGCGCTTTGTAGTTTCCTGATCCGGAACTAGTCTCTCTGGAAACCCGGAAGAAGTGGTTGGCGCGCGCGAAGCGTGTTCCCTGTTCAGGAGTGGAGAGCCACAAAGCGTGAGCGACAAGTAGTGCTTCAGGTAAGTCTCGGTTCCTTCCAGGACTATGGAGAGGAGAGCAGTGTAGTTCTCTCCCTACCGGAACGTATCTTACCTTCTTATCCCACAGTCTGCTCCCTTTTAGCAACCACATAAACTGCTTGGGCTTGCCCGGTCTGCAAACTTTCCTTTGGAAGAAGAAACCAAGATGCTGGGAAGGGATAGAACCCAGAATTTTAGTGTCGAGCAAAGCCTCCTCGTTTAGGTGGCGTTGGTACGCTGTCCTAGCCTGAGAAAACGGAGAGCAGGCCTCACACTTAAATACTAAATGTCCGTTTTCGAGTTGTTCAGCCTTGCTCCTACAGGGAAAGAATTCTAAGGATGGATTAAAAAGGTACTTTTATTTATTCGTACAGTGGTGCATGCATTTCGTGCACGCTAGGCAAGCGCTCTAGATCTTGTTAGTCCCATAGATGCGAGGAGAAAGACCATCGACCCATATCATGGCCAAATTAATTAAAGCAAGCTTTTTTTTTTAAATTTGTGCACATGGGCTGTCTTTCCCTCATGGGGTGGCTAGGCAGATCAGCATTGGACATGGGGAAGAGAAGGAGCTTCACAGTTAAGCAGTGGAGTGTTTCCAGATGGGGCATTTTGGCAGGCAGATAGATAGTCGGGGGTTACGGAAGCAGAACATAAGCATAAACCAAGTAGATCCTAACAACATTCCTAAACAAAGGCCTGGTGGCCATTTCCAGGAACAGACAAGTACAGAGCCTTTTGTAGTTAAGGTTATAGGTGGGAGCTGGGCGGTGGGAGCCCAGGCCCTTAATCCCAGCAGTCGGGAGGCAGAGGCAGGCGGATCTCTGTGAATTCGAGGTCAATTCTGGTCCACAGAGCGAGTTCCAGGACAGGCACTAAAGCTACACAGAGAAACCCTGTCTTGAAAAACAAAAAAACAGATGAACAAAAAGTTATAGCTGGGCCATAGCTCAATCCTTGAGAGACAAATTTAATTTATAAACAGAAACTAATATAGTTTTGTTTTTTACTATAATATGGCTTTCAATCTGAAGAGGGAGGCAGGCAGGTTTATCACTATGCCTCATCAAGTCGCCCTGTCCATGAACTTGGGATGCTCCTCCCTTAACCACTTCTCTCAAAGATTGGAGTTAGCAAAGTTAAAAGTTTTTGATAAGAAATATTTAGGACACTGTCGGTAGAAATAGTGGAGGTGGGTTTACAGCAATAAACAACAGGATTTGGTGACTGGTGCTATTGGAACACAGGAGGGAAAGTATGGATTTTCTTAAAAGTCAAGAACACAAGCCAGGGCTACACAGAGAAATCCTGTCTCAAAAAAACCAAAAAATAAAGGAAGAACACACAAATAGTGGAATGCTCTTTACCTTGGGTTTGATGATCAGCAAAAAAACAAAAAACAAAACCTCAATCAAAACATATAAAAAAATACTTGGAAACTTAGGGTGGTGAAATCTAACAGAAACCGGAGATCCACATGGCCAAAGCACCCTGTATGTGAGGGGATTTGGGAATATATGAGATTGTTCATCTTAGTGCAGGGTAGAAAGGAAACTGTAGGGACATGGGAAGAGGGAGGAACTCCTCACTCTGGAAACTGATGGAAGCCTTTTACCTGGGAGAATCAAGCATGCTAACACAGTTAACAATTGTTTAAAGCCTGTGTCCCTTCCCAGTTGTCCAGGAATCTCACGTGAAACCCCATTTAAAGGGAAAGGACTGTGTCCCAACACTCTGTACAGCCCTAGTGGCTTCTGATGGTTTCGTTGGTTTGTTTCAAGACAGACGTCTTTGTGTAGCTCTGGCTTCCCTGAAATTCACTTTGTAGACAAGACTGGCCTCCAACTCACAGAGATCTACCTGCCTCTGTCTCCCCAGTGTTGTGATTAAACACATTGGCCACTGCCACTCTGCAGACTTCTGTTTTTTTTTTTTAAAGCAGGTTATAATTCCATCCAAGACACCTTCTATCCAAAGAGAGAGAGGAGAGAGTGAAAAATAATGTTTCTTGGCAGCGACCCTTTTAAGATGTAACTTGAAAACCATCAAAATGATCTATGTGGCTAAGGCTAAGACTGTGTGAGTCTCCGTGCCTAGGAATGTCTTGGTTTTTTGGGGTTTGTTTTTTGTTTGTTTCAAGACAGGGTTTCTGTGTAGCTTTGGAGCCTGTCCTGGAACTAGCTCTTGTAGACCAGGTACTGGCCTCAAACTCACAGATCCGCCTGCCTCTGCCTCCTTAGTGCTGGGATAAAAGGCGTGTGCCACCACCGCCTGACTGAGACTCTTCTTGAGCACTTGTCCACATTTGGTTATGTCTTAGGGGAAGATAATGGATCTGTCTTGTCTGTCTGAGTATTTCTGGGAGCCATTTCTAACTGGAGGTTTCTCCTCTACCTGCCAGTTCCCAAATAACCACTCTGAGGCTTAATATTGATTACAAACTGGCTGATGGCTCAGGCTTTTGCTAACTACCCTTTACATCTTAAATCAACCCATTTCTGTTATTCTATATATTTTTTTAAAGATTTATTTATTTATTATGTACACAGTGTTCAGCCTCCAGGTATGTCTGCAGGCCAGAAGAGGGCACCAGATCTCATTACAGATGGTTGTGAGCCACCGTGTGGTTGCTGGGAATTGAACTCAGGACCTCCAGAAGAACAGCCAGTGCTCTTAACCTCTGAGCCATCTCTCCAGCCCCCTGTTATTCTATATTTTACCACGAGGCTCATGCCTTGTTACCTCACATCTTGCTTCTCCAGCAGCTGCTGGCGTCTCTCCAACTCCATCTTCTTTCTCCCTGTATCTTTGCTTGAATTTCCTTCCTGGCTCTATTCTGCCTTGTTGTTGGCCAAATCAACTTCTTTATTAAGCAACGGTAATAAAACATTCACAGCATACATAAGGGCATACCACATCATGTGTCTTTCTCTGAAGCTTTGAGCTTAAAGTCTATATTGAATAAAATCTCCACAGCTCCCTAAAAGATGAAGGAACTCCTGAAAGTGATGGTGCTGAGCAGTCTCTGCTCCCTCTCCAGGGACAACCTGACACTTTGTTGCCTGTCAAAGCCAGCTGGAAGCAGGGAGTAGTCACCTTTGTTTTGAGAGCTCTCTCTCTTGAGGCTTTGCAACAGCGCCTGGAGCATAATGAGTCCCAGAGAGTACTGATTGGCTGGCTGGTTGGTCTATTGATTGATTGATTGATTGGAGAGGATTGGAAAAGAGCTTATAGACCAGTGCTGTCCCAGTGTGCTTCCATTCCCCCACCTTTTTTGGGACAGGGTTACTTTATTGTGATTCTTACTTGGCCCCAAACACACACGAGACTGTTGATACATCAACTTGTCTGGTCTTGCAGGTTTCTTCAGTGATGACAGTGTCCTCTCTCCCAGTTTGATAGAGTGGTTGCTAGCCACTTTCAGATTGTCGATCCTTAGAACTGAATATTTAACCATAAGTTGAATGTACCTAACTATATGGCACTAATGGCTACCGCATTGGATAGCATAGATATAGACAGAAGGGCCAACAATATAAGATTGTATAGTACTATCCATATTTCCAAGCAAATACCAGGTAGTTTTTCTTAGGATACTATAAAACTATCAGATAGGTAAGGTGAGCATTGGGTCAGAGTCATGTTAAATAATTCAAAGAGGAAGGTTTAAAGTTTTAAAAGACATTAGGAAGTGGTGCACAACACTCAGTGAAACCCAAAAAGATACAACTGGTGGCAATGACAATGTCTGGTTTTTTGAGACGGGTTTCTCTGTGCAACCCTGGCTGTCCTGGAACTTGCTCTGTAGACCAGGCTGACCTTGGACTCACCTACCTCTGCTTTCTGAGTGCTGGGATTAAAGGTGTGCACCACCACCGCCTGGCAAATTCCTGGTTCTTTAGCACTTTTGGTAGCGTGGGGGAAGAGAGGGACCAGTACATGGTGATTAGGAGAAGCAGATAATTGAGGTTGGAATTGAAAGAAGAAAATTATGCCATGGTGGGTCAAAAATTTTAGAAAGGAATTTTTTTTTAGGTTGGAAAAATGTAAAGAAGCCGTGAAGTAGGTCATTGTACATTGGCTCGGGAAGTTATCAGGAATAGGAGATCTGTTGAAACACGCTTGGTGAAGCAGGCTAATTAGAAGGCCCAAAGAAGAGGGTTTTATGGCCACACTTATTTTACTAGGTTGTTAAAGGTTGTCTGTGAGACTGACTATGAGCAATATCAAACCTTGAGATTATAGTGAGGATGCAGAGAAAGAGACGGACTGAAACACCCTTGAGAAGAGTTAGTCTGAACAGCCTGAGTTTTATTAGTGACCTCTTTATGTATATTTCTATCTCTCTCTGATTTCCCTAGCTAACCTAATAGAAAAGTCAGGCTTTTATTTAATCATTTCCATTTATTTCAGCACTCTGAAAGGTCTGTGCCTCTAACTAAGTCTAATCCAGACATTTATAGAGATTGATGCTTTCTCTTTTTCGGGAGCTGGGTGCATTGTTACTATCTTTCTTAGAAACCCAGCACAGCCCCACCAGCCCTGGATGGCTTCATCCCTGAAAAATACTCATGCTGTAAATAATCTGACATTTGGATCAGAGTTTTTGTAGTATAAAGTGATCTCTAGTTTGGGAGCTAATACTGATAATCAAAGCATGCATACCGACTCTTAAACGTTTGCAATTTCTAATTCACTTGGGTTTAAATAGATAGCTGAACCATCTAAAGTTTCCACTGTAAACTTTGACCTGCATTTGAACTACATAGTTCATGTGGCCACCTGATGTACAAATGAGCTTTATGGTATGTATCTCTTTAGTGACTAAGAACTGTAATTGAGGATTTGATGGAGTACTTGCCTAGCATGCATGAAATGATGGGTTTGATCCCCAGCATCACATAAAACCATTCATGATGGCATATTCCTGTAATCCTAGCACTTGGGGTGTAGAGGCAGGAAGATAAGTTATTGATCAGCTCTGTCTTCCTGTGGAGTTCAAAGCTAGCCTGGGCTATGTAAGACCCTCTTTCAAAAACCAAACCAACAACAAAACAAACAAAAAACTGTCACTGAAGGAATCAGTTGTGCTGGGACTGGGACATGCCTGTAGTCCCAGCACCGCTGAGGCTGGAGGGTCAGAAGTATGAAGCCAGCCTGTCATTGCTTAACTCAAAATATTCTTCATACCAGTTCCTGTAGGAATATTATATAGATCTTGGTGGCTAGCTTTAGAAATGTAATCTAATAGTTTTGAGCAAGGCAGAGGGAATGGGAGAAAGGCAAGGCCTGCCAGAGCCATGCTCTCTGCGCTGGAGCTGGCCAGGGTCTCCTCACTTAGCATATGTTAACGTGTTTATTTTATGAAGAATAATAGGGAAATTTATGCTAAAATAAGTGTTCCTATCCATTTAGGTCGTGTATTGCACAGTTCTTATAGTGTTACTTAAGTACTGTAAAAATGGTGGCTTCGTGCATATAAATGCTTGGACAATACACTAGAGGAAGAAACTGATGGTTGTTTCCATTAACATAGAAATCCAAGCCAGGGGCTGGAGGGATGGCTCAGAGGTTAAGAGCATTGCCTGCTGTTCCAAAGGTCCTGAGTTCAATTCCCAGCAACCACATGGTGGCTCACAACCATCTGTAGTGGGGTCTGGTGCCCTCTTCTGGCCTGCAGACATGCACACAGACAGAATATTGTATACATAATAAATAAATAAATATTAAAAAAAGAAAAAAGAAATCCAAGCCAGGCTGGTTGCTCAAATCCCAGCATTTGGAAGGTTAAGGCCAGAGGGTTGTGCAAGTTCAAGGCCTGTCTGGGTTCCAGGGCATGGTGGACTACAGGATGTAACCCTGTTAAAGGTGGGAAGGAGTGAAAGGAATTCAATGCCTCTAGGATAGCTACACTTCTAGAATTACTGAATTTAAGAACCCACTTCAAATACTTTGTGTTCAGATGTAACATGAATTTGTATTAGGATCTTGGATAAGTTTCCATCCATGCTTATTTCCAATGCTGAAACTTTGTTTATAGCATCTTGACTCTTGGCCTAATGTACCTCCTAAAGGTATGACAGTGAGAACCACTGAATTATGAAGATAGAAATTTACACTGCTTTCCAGAGTTAGTTTTTATTGCTTTGGGCTCCTTGAAGGGGGTCCCTGTAGGTGTCGTGCAGCAGGGAAGCAAATCATGTCAAGAAATAATGGAGCCGGGCGGTGGTGGCGCACGCCTTTAATCCCAGCATTTGGGAGGCAGAGGCAGGCGGATCTCTGTGAGTTCAAGGCCAGCCTGGTCTACAAGAGCTAGTTCCAGGACAGGCTCCAAAACCACAGAGAAACCCTGTCTCGAAAAACCAAAAAAAAAAAAAAAAAAAGAAATAATGGAAACAGTGCAGATTGACTTCATCAACCTGGGTCAGTGAACTGTCAGCATTTTTAAACACAGTACAATTTGGGAAAAGGTTTCCAGGCAACAATCCAATTCCAGGTGCACGCTAAAGCTTAAATTTGTGACTACATAGAAACTCTTACAAAGTACATATGACCATGAGGGTGGGTTCTATAGCAAAAAGATCTAGAATCTAGTGTGGTCTCTGAGTGATAGTATAGAGGTCAGCTGGCCATAATGTACTTGTGACATCTATTCTAAGGATGGGGAATGGTCTAGGGAGGGAAGAGTCTGGAATAACCGTTCTGGAGAACTAGGGTGAGGTCTGTCCCTTCAGCTAGCAGCAAAATGGTCACCAGATAGTTGCTTTCTGGATGGAATGCAAGTATTTGGTTTGTATCTCTTCCATTGAGGCACGCACCTGTGTGATTAACATTCCTGGTTCTCTTAAGTGCTTCTCTGAGTACAAGGACCACTGGACCCACAACTGTTCTTTTTTTGATTTTTTTTTTGTTGTTTGTTTGTTTTTCGAGACAAAGTTTCTCTGTGTAACAGGCCTAGGTGTCCTGGAACTCACTCTGTAGACCAGGCTGGCTTTGAACTCACAGAGATCCACCTGACTCTGCCTCCCAAATGCTTGGATTAAAGATGTGCTCCATCAGTGCCCAGCTCCCCCAACAGTTCTTTAGGCATATTGGTGAAGCCATCATTTCCTTTTCCCATAGGATTTAAGGAAGACTGAATGGTAGGGTTTTTAACTGAAGAAAGTCTGCTGACCATTCAAATGGCCAAAACTATTCCTTGTGGATCTTTGAATCATCTAGTACTTGGGGATGGATGGAAGCAGGGTCTGTGCATAAGACCCACAATGCATCTTGCCTTTCCTCTGTTTGACTTAGTATGGCTCTCAAATATTGCTTGTTGCTTGTAGGTGGTTTTTCTGAACAGCTTGAAACCCTATTTTAGATAACAACTTTTTTCTTTTCCGTTAAGGTGCTCTCCAAGTTCTTGGTTATGGAGTATTTGGCTCATCCTGGTACACTCAGCTTGGCTGCTGGAGTTGCTTGTGGCATGTGCCTGGGCTGGGGCCTCCGGGGTCACCTTGGCATGTTACCCCAGAACTCAACAAGTGAGACAAATAGAGACACCAAGACAGAAACCGAAGCAAGCATTCCTGGGGAGAGTGGGGAGTACAAAATGATTCTTGTGGTTCGAACTGACCTAAAGATGGGAAAAGGGAAGGTTGCTGCCCAGTGTTCTCACGCTGCTGTTTCTGCCTACAAGCAGATTCAGAGGAAAAATCCTCAAGTGCTCAAAGAGTGGGAGTACTGTGGCCAGCCCAAAGTGGTGGTCAAAGCTCCAGATGAAGAAACCCTCATTGAATTACTGACCCATGCGAAAGTGTTGGGACTGACTGTAAGTTTAATCCAAGATGCTGGACGTACTCAGATTGAACCAGGCTCTCGAACTGTCCTGGGAATTGGGCCAGGACCAGTAGAGCTAATTGATGAAGTTACTGGCCACCTAAAACTTTACTAGATGAGCTTTTGTATAGTGGTGATTCTGTCTGAAAAGTATGAAGCCTGTCAGTAATAAAAGCTTAATCCTTGCTCCACTTTAAAGTATGTTTCCATGTTCTTCTGTCATGTACTGGACCATTAATATCTTGAGTTTAAAATACTTTTGAAGGGCAAAAGAGACGTTTCAGTGGTTAAGAGCATTTGTTGCTCTCGCAGAGGACTCGGGTTCAGTTCCTAGTTCACAACCACCCATAGTTGCAGTTCTTGGGCTTCCGACACCCTCCCTCATCTCTTCAATAACTAGGCACACATGTATACATACAGGCAAAACCACTGTACACGTAAATCTGAAGAGTAAATGCACGCCTTTAATCCCAGCACTTTTGAGGCAGTGAGTTTTAGACCAGCCTGATCTAGAGAGCTAGTTCCAAGACAGCCAAGGCTACACAGGGATACCCTGTCTCCAAAAAACAAAGCAACAAAAAAGGAATAAAAATACATTGTTTAAATGCTTGAATGATAGATGCTAGAACAGTGATAACATTGGGTGGAGAGGGAGCCATGTTTCCTGTGTATAATTAGGCCCCTTGTATTGATCACTCTTCAGTCAAACCATGCTGCTATTCCTGGCCTTTTTAGAGGACATGGTTCAAGGATCATGGCAGTTTTTCCCTGCTGCTACTTTTTGAATGTATGATATATCTTTTTTTTAATTAAGAGATCATTGCATAGACCCATCATGCAATCATAATTCAGATTTTATCTAGCTGAATGTTTTGGAGATGGTTCAGGAGTAGTTAACACTGAATGATGCCACAGTAGCAACAGTTTCTAAACAGAATGTTTATACAGGAGTCAAGTGATGCAACCACCTGTAACTGAGTTGAACTCACTTAAATACATGGTTATGACTCAGGTAATTTATGAGACTTGCTGTAGACTATAGCATGACTCCACACTGACAGACTGCATTCCCAGCAGGATGTCTGGGTAGCTGATTCAAGGACCTGTAACAGTGAAAATTGTTAATTCTGGTAACAAATCACAGTATTTGTTCACCTGTTCTTGATGTGTATTTCGTACACTCTAACCAAACAGCCTTCAAGGCATACTCTACAGAGCCCAAGGAGTCTTTATGTGACTGTATATTAACTTGAATGAAAGGTATTGTCTTTTCTCTATCTAGTATGCCCGCTGATGGTCTGTTCAAATGAGTAGTCATAGCTTGCATGGTCCCACGTTTATAGTAGTTTCACTTGTCCTGAGGAGCAGTACTTTTTCCTAGCATATGTAGGGGAGGGGCTTTGAGAACTGCAGAATGCAGGACAAGGGAGTCTTCAGAGGAGTCCTGGTAGGTTGCCCATGCTTCAGTAGATGGTCCAACATACAGCTGTACATAAGCACTGACTTGGGAGAAAGTGCGGGTGTTATGATCATAGTAAATTGAAAACATGTATGAAATTCTCAATAAAAATTATTAAAATCATTTTTTATCCATGACTACTCATGTTCATGTGTGGTTGTCTAAAAGGCTAGTATATAGTGTCACTTACTTGTGAACTCAGTTTCGTGGAACATTTTTACTTTTTATATGAACCGAAACAAGAGGTTAGGAAGGTGCTCTGCAGTTAAAATCTTGAAGAGAACCCATGTTTGGTTTCTGGCTCATAATATTTCAGAGGATCCAGCCCAACACTCAATATACTTATATAGACGAGCACACATATATATAACTGAAAATAAAACTTTACACAGATAAACTTAGGGCTACTGAGTTGACTCAGTGGGTGCCTGAGTTTGCTCCCTGGAACCTACAAAGCTGTCCTCTCATTCCGCTTGAGTGCCATCGCACTGTGTCTACACAGACAATAAAAAAATTAAAAAACCAACTAGCCCGGAACCAGGTGTGGTGGTTTATTCTGCAATCCCAGCACTTTGAAGGCTGAGACCAGAGAATTTCTCCAAGTTCCAGGTTAACAGTGAGGTTCTTGTCTCTAGAGTAAGGCAAAGGGGGACTTTAATTGCCCCAAACCCACGTGTGTGACAGTTGGTAAAAACTAAATGCCCTAGCCACTTCAAGAAGAACTGGAAGAAGTTTGGAGAGCTTTTTCAGACTCTCACACATCGGTGTTTGCAGGGTGCTGGAACTGAACCATAGTATAAAAGAAGACCAACTAACAGCAGTGCTGAGGATCGCCCTTCGGGCCTCCCACACAGCAAATCAATGTTTTCTGCATCAATACAGTTTTTGTTTTGTTTTTACTGTCACTGATAGAAATGACCAACTAAAGTTCAGTAGTTTGGTAGACAAGGCTCAGAGAAAGATGGTGGCTGCACTAGAGAAAGACCTAGAGGTGATACTTGCTGTTGCACTAATATGGCCGTAATTAGAGAGTTGTTAACCACTGGCAGACTTTGTTTATGTAGTGGCTATTTTTATCCCAAGATCAGATAGCTTGTCACAGAGTTTCTCATTAGTCTTCCCATTTCTTAGTTCCAGCAACACTTAAGAACTGTTTAGTACAGTTTTCAGTTTCTTAGTCTAGAACCTACTCCAGTGATAAACTCAAGAGAATGTTAATGAAGATACCTCATTTAAAATAGTTTATCACCAACTTTCACCACAGCCCAATCCTTGGCTGGGCACTTTATGATATGAAGATAACTGACAGGTGGGGCATACTTAGAATCCCCACATGCAGGAGGCTTAGAAAAAAAGAACTCAAGTTCAAAGAAGGCCAGCATGGACTAGATATGGAGACCCTGAATCAACAAACCAAGAGGCTAGAGAGAAGGTTCAACGATTAAGAGCAATGTAGAGCAAGGTTCAATTCCAAGCACCCACATGGAGACTCACAACCACTTCTAAGGGATCCAGTGCCCTCTGCTGGTCTCCTTGATCATGAGGCACCTATATGGTGCATGAACATAGAAGAAGGCAAAACACACATACACATAAAATTTGCCCAGTAATTCTGAAAAGCACTTTATATACTGATAAGAAAGTTAGCAGCCTGCTGACTGGCTGGCACATTACCCAAGGTTTGTCTTATGTGTTGCCCAATATGGACGGTTTAAGTGGCAATGTGGTATCACAGGATAACACTACATGATTAGAACAGCGAATCTGATGGGGAAAAATATCCTCAATAAAACAATTAAGAAAATAGAGTAGGGCTGGAGAATGGCTCAGTGTTTAAGAGCAATGACTGCTCTTCCAAAGGACCCAGGTTCAATTCCTAGCATCCACAGGGTAACTTAACTCCTGTCTCGGGGGATCTGAGCTCTTCTGGCTTCTGAGGAGGGCACTATGCACATGGCACACAGACATACATATAGGCAACATAAGCTAGGCACTAAGGTAGAGAATGAAGTCATAATGAAATAAATTTAGTATTTTTAGCCATGGCAAATATTTAAATTTGGTACCCTTTAAGCTCATGATAAGAAATGTCATGCTAACTACTTTTAAAAATACACTTTTACTGACATAATGCACGACTTTCTCCATAATTCCCTCTGTGACACCCTGTAATGCTCCTGCAGCACCCAGTATAAAACCATGGAAACCTCCGTTCTTCTGGTGTGAGGTGTATTTAATTAAAACTGCAGTTCTACATGTTATTTCCACAGTCCAGTAATTTATTTTAAATTGGAGTAATTTCAAATTCCACAAACAAAACTGAAGAACAACAATATTTTGTTTGAATTCTCTCTTCTGTACACTCAGTGATCTAAAACACCACAATATCCAACATACACAAACCTCAGGGAAGGGTTAGTAAATACACACGTGTGGAATCATGGTGCTCTTTGTTCCTGAATGGAATGGTCCCACAGAAAAAGCACAGGATACAGCACAACATGAGGGCACCTGTTACACATGAAGTGAGCAAAACACACTAGCATTTCTATATGCGCAATGGGGAAACCTGCATAGGTTAAAGGGCCTTTTATGCTCATTTAAAAATCATCAGGCAAGTTGTCTGTATGCATTTTTCAAATAATTTGGAGAGCGCTGTGATCCAATGTAGCATATGCTGATTAGTGTTGTCTTTGTTGGCATTGACAGTCTTGCATGGTCACACACCAGTATTCTCACTTTAGCTTTTCTTTGAATAAAAGAGATTTAAATGCACTTAGACAATACATATTGAAAGCTGTTTACATACACTAAATTTAAGAGATTCAGTATTAGAGTTTCTTTGTTTCTTTAAACACTACAGAGTGCAAATCAGGTTCTTCACAAGAGACTGAATAGTAAGCAGTTCTTCAAAGAATGAGGGGGAGAAAAAAGCCCACATGAATACTATTCCCCTTTGAAAAGAAGTTCTAATGATGCGGAATGTGAAAATAAGGTTTTAACATAGGCGATCCAAGTCTATAGTTAGAAACAAAAAAGTAGTCCTTCATGAAATAAAGGTTACGAGAACACGTTGCCTGTTTCCCCGTTTATAAACTGAGAAGTGGGTAGACGATGCTTCAGTATGAAAATAGGAGACTACAGGATCAGCTTCCATCTTACATGCTGTACCCAAAGCCAGGCTGTGGCTGCCCATATGGTGGTGCAGTGTAACCATAACCAAAAGGTGCCTGGGGAGGGACTGCCACACTGGGTCCTGCTGTTAGCATCAGCTGGGGCTGACCTAAAAGTGACACAGAGGAGGAGAATCTGTTAGCACCTAGGTTTAGCGCTGTCATCTTTCCCACTCTAGCAGCGCAATCACAATTCACTGATTAAATTGTGGGGGGCACTTTCGACTGTCCCGGTTTGGAATAATCTCACCCTGAGAAGGTTCCTGCCTTAAAAAAAAAAAGCCAATGGTGCAGGACTGAGGGCCACAACATCCTATATTTAAAGCAGTAACACATGCACATTTGACATTTATCAGGCCATACATCTGCCAACAAGCCTATTACATAATACACATTACATTTAGTGACTAAAATTTTAGCACAGGAAAACTTTACAAGTTGTTAATTTAAATCTCTGATTCTAAACATCTGAATGGTAATAAAACCTAATATGGTTCTAGCGAAGAATCCAGCGCTAATTTAGAGACAGCAATAGAAAAAACACATTCAAATATGCACTAGATATGCAATGCATTAGGCATGAAAAACATGAGAACATATATACCTTCTATCAAATACTTGTTGATGAAGCTGAAATAGTTGCTGACCACATAAAGAAAACATGACACGTAAAGAACTTTTAGAGAGAGAAACACAATACCTCCCTAGCCCTGCAAATCATCTCCCGCTAGAACACAAGCTATCTTTCTCCCAGCACAATGGACTCCTTTCTTGTGGTACAACCAAAATTGTCTTCAGTAAGTGAGTTTTGGGGTTTTTTTGGAAACTGGCTTACCAAAGAATCACCCCTAGATTACCTTGAAAATTCTAACCCTAGTTCACTCAAACGCCATGAAGGCCCAGTCTGTAGATACCTACTAAATAACCACAACTATCATTTTTTCCCTATTTCAAAGATGTCAAACCTTATTTAACATGTTAGGTCTAACCAGTCCTTCATCAAAACTACCCGGTCCCCCAAATTCCTCCAAACAGTTTATCTGTAATAATAATAATAATAAAAATAATAAAGATTCCTATATTGTCATTTTCGTTAGTTGTCTGAGACAAAAATGGTCATAATTTTATACTTCCTTCTAAAAAACATCTGGCTATAAAACTTTTAATCATACTCCCTCAAATCCAATGTTCACCAAGTATGAAATACAAAGGATAAGTAACCCACACAGGCTAGTAGAAGAGGAAGTCAACTGCTTTAAATACTTTAGGATTTGGATGTTCTACCTCTCTGGAAAGTTCTCAAATGGAAACTCAACCCCCATTCTCTGTCCTAGATAGATTTAAAGTGAAGATGGAGTCTTTATACAAAGCACACTGAAGACATCCATGGCATATTGGTTCTTCTAAAATCAGAATTCATTGTTGTTTCTTTCTTACTGACTTAGAAAAACAAATAGATCAGTCATCAATCTGGCAACTGATTTTTTTGTTTTTTTCAAGACAGGGTTTCTCTGTAGCTTTAGAGCCTGTCCTGGAACTAGCTCTTGTAGACCAGGCTGGTCTCGAACTCACAGAGATCCACCTGCCTCTGCCTCCTGAGTGCTGGGATTAAAGGCGTGCGCCATCACTGCCTGGCAACCTAGACCATCTTTAACGACTATTTTTGAGATATTCTATGCATGGAAGATTATTAGAGTGGAAAATATCAAGGAGTTTTAAATGGTCCTCAGGAGAAAATGCTAACAGTTGGGGGGACTATTCCTTAACTCAGCTTGCTACATTTAAGAAGGGTCTAACTTAAAAAGAGACAGATTACCATAAACGATGGGCTGTGTCTCTGTAGCTTGTTCCTCTTCTTTTCTCAATGACTCTGAAGCATCTAATTTATCCACCTAGAGAAAAAGAAATCATGTTAGTTAGAACCTCAAAAGC